AACGTTTCGCCTACACAGTAGGCTTCTTCAGTCGAGTACAGAAAGGTTGATAGAAGCAGAAGATACTTGAAGATGATGTAATCAGTCCATCACCCTTAAAGTTTTGAGGTGGTCAGTCCCTCAGTTTGGAGAAGAGCATTGTTCCGTTGTCTGAAACAATATTGTTTCAGACAACGGAACAATGCTCTTCTCCAAACTGAGGGACTGACCACCTCAAAACTTTAAGGGTGATGGACTGATTACATCGTCTTCAAGTATCTTCTGCTTCTATCAACCTTTCTGTACTCGACTGAAGAAGCCTACTGTGTAGGCGAAACGTTTCGAAATAAAGATACCTAACTGTTGCATATGTGGGAAGTACAGTGTCTGCACTCTGAAGGAGGGGTGTTAATGCTGCAGTTTTATAAATGTAGTGTAAGACAGTGATGGAGTGAATGATGAAAATTTGTCTTTTTTGGGGCACCCTGCCTTGGTGGGAGATGGCTATGTTAAAAAAAAAAAATAAATAAATAAATCACAAAAACTACAGAAACACTCATACAGAACATGGAGAAAAGAAACACATGCAACATAGTACAGGTGTGCAAGGAATACAATTGTAAAGTACAAAAGGGAAAGAAATAAGTACAGATCACTGCATGCAGAGCAAACTCAGCAATGCAGTGTTTCAGCTGTTGCTGGACCTGGTGCTGTTTTTGGAAGACAGTCCTGCGCAGATATAGAAATAAAAGATAATGTATCAGCTGGTGATAGTGGTCCCAGTGTTACTGAAGAAGCCAGTACAGATCTAGAATTACTAAACAGTGGTTCAGCTGGTGGTGTTATTGGTTTGGATTCTGCTTCTGGAGACAGTGCTGGTACAATTCTAGAAATAGCTGGTGGTGCTGCTGATTCTGGTATGACTGCTGAAGGTAGTGCTGGTGCAGATCTAGAAACTGCACCAGTTGGGAACCCAGCCCCCACAAATTCTAGCCAACAGAAAGCAGAATTGTACAAATTCTATGCTTGGGATATCTGTAGGCATAGAATATCTTGTAAAATGAATGGGATAATAAGAGGAAATGTGGGGGTTGGCCTGTATGTCAAAGTCGCTCATTTGCACAGTTACTAAACACCACAACTCGTATAGCTGAAGTTTTGGCAGTAACGACAGAACCAAAAATCTAGTCAAGGTGCTTGTATACAAGTCGCCATATTCAACTTCCTATGAGTTCAAGGAACAGCTACTGAAAATTGATTACTGTCTGGAAAATCTTTGTATCCCAGCCTCAAATATTTTGTTGCTTGGTGATTTCACTTTAAGGCATTTATAATGGAAGTAGCAAATAACGTTATAGCAGAGATAATTCCAAGAGGCAGCTCAGTTGAAAATTCACACAAATGAGCTTCTGAATCTCTAATAATACCACCTTAAGCCAACAAATAATGGAGCCAACAAGACTGGAAAACACACCTAATACGAAATATAATAATAATGAACATAGTTAATTCAAATCACAACCTAACTGAAATTCAGACTTGTATGCACAGGGGTCCTGACTGTGCATACAATTCTGAATTTCACACTTGTATGCACAGTTACGAGGGTGCCTTCACCAAATTCAAATTTAACAGGAACATCCACCGGGATCAAACTACATCTTAAACAACACGGATCCAAATCAGTGCCTGGATCAACTCTGTAGCATTTGCAGTATGCTCAAGGCACATTCCCCTAAGGAAAAAGAGATGATATAACTAGAAAGAGACTCCATCTACAGAGGCAAAAAAAAAAAAAAAAAAAAAAATCACAAAGCTCCTCAAGGGGGCAAGACTACCTGAAATGTGGAAAAAGCACTGACTAGGAAATAGAAAATGCAGTTCAATGAATCATACTGGGTCCAGGACAAAAGGAACTAAAAGCAATTAATGAAATTTAAAGAAATCCTAAATATTTCTTTTCATATGACAAATCCAAGGTAAAAACCACATTTAGTACCAAGCTCTTGCTTAAACTAGATGGGACCTACACTGATGACAGCAAAGGAATGAGTGATACTGAAGTCTCAATATGACTGTTTTGTCATGTGGGGGGTTCGATAACGTGGATTGGGTAATAACACTCACGTTGGATGTTCTAGTATATTGGATGGAATATAGGGGGAGCACCAAGCTTGACCTACCACCTCTCTAACGCCTCTACTTGACTGGCCCGCTGAGTGCCTCAGAGGGTAGCAGCATTCAAAACATGCTAGGTCAGCTGAACAGTGAATAGCAAGTGATTCACACAGATGGTTGGTAGTGAGTCGTACTACTGGTAACTGGTACTACTGAGAGTTTAGTGAAAAGTTAATTAAGTATATTATGGTAACTCACTCAAGTTTGCTGTCAAAATATAATAAAATAAATATTTAGGAGTGAACACTCCTGTACAACTAATAGTAGGGTAATAATACAAGGAAAAAATTCATAAAATGAAGTTAAAATATTAGTATATACCATTTGATCACATGGTCTGGCTCAAACAAAATTGGATATGAACCTTTTGGAAGCATCATTGAGAGCTCCTAGATAAAAGCCATCACAAAATATCATTTTTGTATATCTAGACTATTGAGATCTTGCAATCATGCAAATCCACTCAGTTGTCCTGCTACAATGACATGCAAATATATGCAGGTCTTTCAATATTTATTTTATTGTTTTCATGGGAGAAGTACTTAACCCATAGAGGTCATACAACACCTTGGGAAGTGAGAGGGAATCCAAGTCAATTCAAGGAAAGGAAGGAAGGAATGGTAGCTACAATTCTTTGAATCAAGGGCCCATGCACATTGTTTTTCTCTTGCAAAAGCCATAAGGCATGATAAAGCTATAAAGCCAAAAACTTAAAAAAGTGTAAAGCCATATAGCTATCATGGAAGTACCTTGATGCTGCTGACAAGAAGCTTTTTATCCAAGGAATTAAATCTATCCTCCCTTTCCTTGGAATGAACCCGACTGACTCACACGGCCCAGGTACTGTATGATCCCTATGGGTTTAGTGCTTACCCCTTAATAATAAAACCGATAATGACAATGATGATGATTATAGTGATAATGAAAATAATAATAATAATAATGAAAGTAATAAAGATAATGAAAGTAACAACAATGCTGATACCACTAATAACAGTAATAAAATACAACTAATAATAATAGCAATAAAATACCACCAATAATAATAATAATAATAATAATAATAATAATAATAATAAAATAATAAAATAATAATAAAATAATAATAAAATAATAAAATAATAATAATAATAATAATAATAATAATAATAATAATAATAATAATAATAATAATAATAATAATAATAATAATAATAAAGTAATATGATGTACATATGTAATGCCTATGTAAGAATTCTGAAGCAATGATAAACTGATACATAAATGTTCTAGTGTATGGCCCTGTTTCTATCCACACCTTACATTTCATGTGACTGATATTTCCATACAAATTATACTACTATAAATATTATTTTATTACTATTATTTGTAGTATTAGTAGTAATGTACATTCTGTGATGCCATGTGCACATTTTATACTTAATTTCTAATTATTTAAAATGAAATAATATCTTGCATGTATTTTATTTCTCTCTCTATAAATAAAAAATTATCTTAGTGAATTCAAGACCATTCTTGATTTTGCAGTTATAGGTTATTACATTAAAGACCCAAAGGATATAAGTCACAAGGGCATCATTGGGTTATCCTAGGGTCACTATCAAAGTACATACCAAGTCAATAATACTGTGTGTGTCCTGGTCTGAACTCAGTCCTTTACTTATATCAGAACATACAAACAACCTCAATGGACCCTGGCAACAGTGGTTATTTTTTTATGCAAACATTTACTTTAAGATATATTAGCAAAAATACCTTAACTTTGACTAAAAAGCAACACAGACAACCAACAATTAGTATTGCGATGGTAAATGTGTGACAAAATTTAACTTAGTGATTTAGGCAAGTTTAGATTAGGCTCAAATAAGTTACTCTAATGTAAACAACATAAAAACCTAAGGTAACCTAAGGAAACATAACCTAATAAATAATTACTCTACAGTGGTATTCACACTGCAGAATTATGCTGTAAAGATTAAATTTACATTTATCACAATGAGAACTCATTCTACCAATGGTAGACATGAAAATGGCTTGCTTTTGTTTATGCTGGCTGTGACTGGTTAGGGGTTTGAAAATGGTCAGTCATGTCACATGACAACACTAACCACTGATTGGCCCTTCCAAAATAAAGTATTATTTTTGCTAATATCGCCTAAAGGAAGTAAATGCACAAGAAATAATTACTATTGCCAGAGCTTATAAGTGTGGTTTGCATGTTCCAACAAATAAAGGGCTCAGTTCAGACCAGGACTTAAACTCAATATTGACTCCATTTGTAGATTTCCTGAATACAGCTTATTATTTGCATTACTGTTGACCTGAACCTAAATGTTAGGATATTTCCCAATGATCAATCACTTTAAATCACACTTGAAACTGCCTGAACAGGAAAAGTGACAGGACAAGACTAACTAAAGCAGATTTTAGTTAGTTCTTCATATATCTAAGTTACCCAAGTGATTTGTATTTAGATTTGAAAAATAATACACGTGTATATGGTAAAATTATCTATATTACATAGAAAAGTGGCATTTTATGATGACTTAACCTAGCCCACCCCAACTCCTGAAAAAGGACTGTGAGAAAGTACTGAAAGCATCCCTGCTGTCACTCTTAGAAAGTACTACAAAAAAATAATGTCATAAATGCCTAGAGATGAGTGGAGGGTGAGTGAGGGTGAAACATAGTAGTGTGGAGAGTAGAGCGGCAGACCACGCCAGAGGGCAGCTCATCTCCCACTTCTCAATACTATAGCCACCATAAATAACAAAACTGGTGCTGGTGGGGCAGCCAGCACTCTCGCATACTTAATCTAAGACACACCTAACGTCTCTACACACCATTGGCGAAGTAGGCGTGTCCAGGTAAGTGGAAATATTGCGTAAATCCCGATGGTGGTGAATTGTTGAGGGCCTGGGCCCAGGGACGGCCTCAAGCCGCCGATACCGCCGTATTTTCAACCACTTTTCTTTCTCCCCATCATCACATTTAACACTTCACTTGCTAACAACGACTGACACTTAGATCCCAGCGTCGCGGTTAACTCGAGTTTTCACTGACTTGGCCAAGCGTTAGCAGGTTATTCTAGCAAAAACGCCATGAGTTTCGGTCTTAGCTATGGCCAAGCGAACGTCACTCGTTCCAAACACCATTTTGTGAAAAATGATTTTTTCACTCACTAGCCACTTTTAACCGTCCATTTGCACTGTAATGTGTTCTTGAGATACTAAACTCGCTTTCTTACACCATCACTTGGACGCATCTTACCTGTTATAGAGGTAAATCCAAGCATGATTGTGAAATATTACAGACTCCATTAAACAATAACATTCGCCGCCATTTGCAATGTCTTGTTTACGCATGCGCTGATCAATCTGAGGCCTGATGGGAAGGTGCCCTAAGCCCCGTCTTTTTCTTCACAAATAATACAACATTTATTTCCATATACAAACTATTAATTAACTAATTTCAGCCTTCGTACTTAGGACTTATTAATAAGTAGTTATACTAAATTATAATTGGATAATAAAATATAATTTGAGTGTGATAAGTGAGCAAATATGCAGTAAGTGAAAGAAACAGACGGAGCCTCTAGAGAGTGAAAAGAAAGCTTGCTGCTCATTGGTGGAAATTCTAAGTAATGTAATTTCTCATTGGTTGAAACGCAAACTTTGTACTAGGTTTCACGGACAATAATGTTGTACGAAATAGGTATATAATTGCATAAAAAGGGAATTAAGGATACTAAATTAATTCATCATGGTTTCCTGGTATTGCCCTGAGTGATTTACAGCACAGTGTATCAGATATTTTCTCTATATTTAGGTTGCGTCAAGTTGAAGGAACAGGTGAATTTATGCACTTGTTACCTATACATATTGTATTATCGTCTATTACATATAATTTTGTTGGATGTATTAATAAATCCAATATTCATCAGTAACACATGTTCATCAGTTCATCGTTGAACTAGTTAGGAAACTTATTTTTTGATAAGACTTGGTTACATTGGCCTAATTATGTCGTAATGGCTAACGAAAGTCATTAAATGCATATATATATACAGGAAACCCCATGATTATCCTAAAATCTCGTTATTAAAGACGGTGCGATGTAATATATAACACCCAGGGGCTGACAAACTCACATTCAACCAAGTTAAATGTCCCATAGTTTTTTAGATCTGGCTTATTCTCCTGTATTTTAAAAACTGCCTCTACTGTACGCAATTTTTCTCTAGTTTATCGTATGAAGTGTTGTATTATCCTCCAGGTTTCTGAGGCTCACAGTAGAAAAAAGAAATTCCGGGATCTATCACGGGCGAGCCGGGATATCTGAAACTAATACAGTAAAGTGGATTATTATATTTTAATCAAGGGGTAGCGCTAAACCCGTACGATTATACAGCGCATGTGGTGGGTGTAAGGTATTCAGGCTTAATTCAGAGAACTGGATCACAGATCCAATTCCCTAGATCAAGAGCCCCTCACCAACGTCAAGGAACCTCCCTTGAGGGCAGGTTCCTAGTTAACTTACACATATGTTACTAGGTATAATAATTGTACTTATGTGTACCTGTACCTAAAGAAATTTTCTTATGTTATCTTAACCTCATAATGAACCAACAATGTGACTTATTTCCACCGGGGTCCTTCTAGGTAATACATTTTGCTTCCGTTCACTTAGCAGTGAACAGGCTGCTGTTATAACACACTGAGGTCCGGGGGTCGATCCCGGTACGGCTGGAAAACATTAGGATGTGTTTCCTTAAGACACCTGCTGTCCATGTTCACCTGTCAGTAAAATAGGTACCTGGGTGTTAGTGGACTGGTGTGGGTCGCATCCTGGGGGCAAAACTGACATAATTTGTGGAAAATGCTCAACATAACAAGTGGTTTTCTATATAGTAGTATGTCATTGATGTCAGCTATGATCTGTATACCTTGTACATGTACTCGTAGTAAATAAAGATATATTATCCTGGGGTAGAGGATCAAATGATACCCAATGAAATTATTAATCCAACTGAGGTTTCCTGGAACACAATTTGTTAGTATTTTCCTGTTTTTTAAGGTTAGTCTACTGTTATTTTTCTTCCTAGTTTGAGTTTCAGTGAATGGAAATAATTACCAATAGTTTGATTGATCAGAGACCGGGCCGCAATTTTTTAACACGGAGAATAAGCAGTGTGGTTTATTGCCATTTTTGGTCATTTGATTCTCTTCCCCAGGATGCCACCCACCCCCGGTCATTAGCACTCAGGGACAACAGGTGTGAATAAACATGCCCAACACCTCCACTCGTCCCGGGATCGAACCTGGGTCCTTCTGATGTGAGCCGAAAGCGTTAGCACTTGTACTGAGCTTCAATATTTCTGTACTAGATGACCCACAAGGGTTTACAGTGTAGGCAAAAGTGTGCTTGATAAAGCTCCCCGATAAAGCTTTGATTAAACTTCCTCATAAAGCTTCCTGATAAAGCTCCATAATAAACCTTGTCAAAGCTCCATGATAAACATTGTTAAAGCTCTTTAATAAAGTTCGATGATAACCCTTGTTAAAGTTCTGTAATAAAGCTCCATGATAATCTTTGTTAAAGTTCTTTAATAAAGCTCCATGATAAAGCTTGTCAAAGCTCCATGATAAACCTTGTTAAAGTTCTTTAATAAAGCTCCATGATAATCTTTGTTAGAGTTCTTTGATAAAGCTCCATGATAAACCTTGTTAAAGTTATTTAATAAAGCTCCATGATAAACCTTGTTAGAGTTCTTTGATAAAGCTCCATGATAAACCTTGTTAAAGTTCTTTGATAAAGCTCCATGATAAACCTTGTTAAAGTTCTTTGATAAAGCTCCATGATAAACCTTGTTAAAGTTCTTTGATAAAGCTCCATGATAAACCTTGTTAAAGCTCTTTGATAAAGCTCCATGATAAACCTTGTTAAAGCTCTTTGATAAAGCTCCATGATAAACCTTGTTAAAGTTCTTTGATAAAGCTCCATGATAAACCTTGTTAAAGCTCTTTGATAAAGCTCCATGATAAACCTTGTTAAAGTTATTTAATAAAGCTCCATGATAAACCTTGTTAGAGTTCTTTGATAAAGCTCCATGATAAACCTTGTTAAAGTTCTTTGATAAAGCTCCATGATAAACCTTGTTAAAGCTCTTTGATAAAGCTCCATGATAAACCTTGTTAAAGCTCTTTGATAAACATTGATAAACGTTATAAAGCTCCCTGATAAATCTCATTAATAAAACAGTAAAGTTCCTTGACATATCTTAATATTATTATAGTCAAAACTAAGCGCTAAACCCACAAGGGTCATACAACGGTGAGTAAATCTTAATAAAGCTCCTTTCATAAACTTTAATAAAGCTCCTTGATAAACCTTAATAAAACTCGTTTGATAAACCTCCTTAATAAAGCTGGATAACGTAACATACGCGCAAAAAATATCTCATTAGTTTTCATCTAACAAATAGAAAAATAAATTAATCAGGCTGTGAGGAATATTATTTTTTTTTTTTTTGCTAGTATTCCACTGGCTTATAAAACTGAGGGTACTGTAGTTCTTGCTTGGTTTAATGGACAGAATTATGCAATAGTAATGATCTGCTTTTGATTGTAGTGCTGAGCGAGAATTTCAGTGATTTTTGAAATCTGGCATCCCGTAGTTTAATGAATAAATTATGCAGTCGTTTTTAAAACCTGTCCACTGCTGCTTTCAATAATGCCAGGAAGCAGTCCTGAGCAGGGTTGGCGCTAGAATTTATATACTGGGGAGCTGTGAGGTGGATATCTGTTTGAAAGAGGGGGCTACCTGGAGTTTACCTGGAGAGAGTTCCGGGGATCAGTGCCCCCCGCGGCACGGTTTGTGACCAGGCCTCATAGTGGATCAGAGCCTGATCAACCAGGCATTTTTTGAAGTAGCATTGTTATATTGCTATTTTGGGGGTTAAACACCCCTGTGGTGCCGCCGCCACTGGCTTTGAGCAATAAGGGTATATTGTTTTTAACTCACCGGCCGTATCCCACCGAGGCAAGGTGACCTAAAAAGAAACACGAAGTTTTTTTTTTTTAAATTTAGCAATTAATACAGGAGAAGGGATTATTGGCCCCTTGCTCCCGGTATTTTAGTTGCCTCTTACGATACGCATGGCTTACGGAGGAAGAATTCTTTTCCACTTCCCCTTGGAGACCCCTCCAGGGAGGTTCCTTGACGCTGGTGAGGGGCTCTTAATCTAGGGAATTGGATCTGTGCTCCGGTTCCCTGAATTGAGCCTGAATACCTTCCATCCCCCCCACGTGCGCTGTATAATCCTACGGGTTTAGTGTTCCCCATGGAGAAGAGTTTACATTGATGTGTTGGTGCTGAAGAGGACCTCAGCTGGAGGTTGAAATATAGACTAATATTCTTCCTCATTCTTGTCTCACGCAAGGTTTTCTTTCTCACAGAGGTGTATATACCAGGAATGGCTTAAAGGAGTAAGTTGACAGCCTCATACCAGCGAGAACGCCGGCTGGTGCATACTTGAATAAATTTACTCCCTTGCACCAGTACCTCTGCTTTTCCTGTGAGTGAGTGGGGAAGATAGATATATCTGTTGAGTTGAGAAGACTCACCATCGTACACACCGGACTGAGAACGTGCTATACCCCGTTTACTGGGTATTTTCGACGATTTTAGCTAACTCCGCCACTTATGCTGAAAAAATCTCGCCGTGCCCTTGTCATAAGGCTGTAAACGGTGTACTAACTGACTTAAGACTCATCGTGCCCTTGTCATAGGGTTGTAAATGATAAATCACTTGTACAAACTCCAACAATCGTTGGGGAGCCACTGCTGGGTCACCATATGACGCGGGGCAGGACCCGTCCTGACGAACCTACCTGAACCTGTGTATATATTTATTTATTTTATTTATTTATTTATTTATTTATTTAGTAATTTAAGCATACATACAGAGGTACAAAAAATACAGGTAAGAGCAGCATACCAAAGCCACTTATATGCATAGCATTACGGGCTGGCTTAAAATTAACTTAAGATTAACTAAGCAATGATGAAATCAGTGATAAAACATTATTGTAAACAGATAACTATAAAGCACAAATGAGTATTACAAAGACAGGTCATATGGTTGCATGCATTGCTGTACATTCACTAGAATGGAGTATCCTGTTAGGTAGTGTATTTAAAAAAATAATAAAGTTAGATTGGGTCCTAGGTTTAACATTTGTGTGATATAATTGTGAGTAACATATAGGATATAAAATTTTTATAAGGTTCAGTTATTCAGTATTTATTTGGTTTTGAGTGAGTAAGTGATCTTTGAGAAGAGACTTGAATTTATAAACAGGTAGTGTTTCTTT